GTAAAGAAATGGAGGTGGAGGTGGAGGAGGAGGTGGAGGAGAGGAGAGGAGAGGAGAGGAAATGTTGGAACATGTAACTGCAGGGAAAAAAAGGGACATGAAAGAAACGAAAGGAGGAGAAAAGAGGATTGAAGGAAGAAAGACTAAGGAGAAAGAAGAATGGTGGAAAAGAAACAGGTAACAGTAGGGAAGATATTTCATGATGCTTCAGCTGTTTTATTAGCGAGGCATTAAATCAATGAGAATTTCTTTTCCTACCTGAACCTTCTTAAAACTTCTTTATAGTAGTGGTGATCTGAATATGCCCGTCCTTTGCCTGTTTTCCTAATTCTGAAGGACACATAGGACACCTGTTTCACAGATGCCAAGCCTCAGGTCTTACCAAAGAATCACAGAATGGTAGGAGTTGGAAGGGACCTCTGGAGATCACCCAGTCCAACCCCCCTGCTAAAGCAGGTTCACCTAGAGCAGGTTGCACAGGAACGCATCCAGGCAGGTTTTGAAAGTCTCCAGGGGAGACTTCACAGCCTCTCTGGGCAGCCTGTGCCAGGAACTTCCTGTGTTCCACTTTGTGTCCACTGCCCCTTGTCCTATCACCAGCAACCACTGAAATGAGACTGACCCTATTCTCTCAATCCCTGCCCTTCAGATATTTATAAGCATTGATAAGATCCCCTCTCAGTCTTCCCTTCTTCAGGTTAAACAGCCCCAGGTCTCAGCCCTTTCCTCACAAGAGAGATATTCCAGTCCCCTAATCACCTTTGTAGCCCTCCGCTGGACTCTCTCCCGTAGTCCTCTGTCTCTCTTGAACCTGGGAGCCCAGAACTGGACACAGTACTCCAGATGTGGCCTCACGAGGGTAGAGGGGGAGAAGAACCTCCCTCGGCATACTGGTCACACTCTTCTTAATACACTCCAGGATATCATTGGCCTTCTTGGCTACAAGAGCACATTGCTGGCTCATGGTGAAGTCGTTGTCCACAAGGACTCCCAGGTCCTTCTCCACAGAGCTGCTTTCCAGCAGGTCAGCCTGTACTGGCGTGTGGGGTTATTCCTCACCAGGTTCAAGACCCTACACTTGTCTCTGTTGAACGTCACCAGATTTCCCCTCTGCCCAACTCCCCAGCCTGTCCAGGTCTTGCTGGATGGCAGCACAGCCTTCTGGTGTGTCAGCCACTCCTCCCAGTTTGGTATCACCAGCAAACGTGCTGAGTGTGCACTCTGTCCCTTCATCCACGTCACTGGTGAACGTATTGAACAAGACGGGACCCAGTACTGACCCCTGGGGAACCCTGGTAGCTACAGGCCTCCAAACAGACTGTGCCACTGAGTCTTATGTGCCAGCTGCAGACTGGGGCCTTGAATGTCAGTTCCACTCCCAGCTACACTGGTTTCAATGCTACCTATGCTCATCATTTGAGCACTGCTACCAGAGCAACTTCCAGGAGCAAGGTCAACAAATGTGACTGATTATCTGCCACATGTTGTCCTTTCCTCCTCTCTCCACACAGAGAAAAAGCAAGTGGCAGGACCCTGGGGTGCTCGCCTTGGCGGGACACACTGGCAGCCAGAACATGTGTAATGCAGCACCACGGAACTAAGGTGAGCTGCCTAGGAGGGAACTTACACAGCTTCATGCAGCCTGGAACCACTGATGCCTGTGACACTTAAACTCACATCAAACTGATTAAATGCTCCAGCTTCATCTTCTAAGCACACAAAAATGCAAGAAGGAAAGGCAAGAAGGGAACAAGAGCTGAAATGCTGAGAAGTAAACGAAGTTTGCCTCATACTTTGATTACTCTGTGATTAGATTCTTGCTTTGAGACACAGGCCAATGGATGCACAGAAACTGAGCTGGGCACTCACAGTGCACTGTTGGCTTATGAATGTGTCCAAAGAGAGACAAAGAAGGAAAAGTAGCTATGAATACCTAAGTGGCCATGGATGTTCCCTGCCATGCCCCTCCTTCACTGAGATTTACTATGCTCTCAGCCTGAGCCTCTGTGGAAATTAAGAACTGAGATAATGTTTAAATGCTTTGCAGGTCCTGCGGGAGAAAGGACTTTTTCTCATAAACAAAGCCACAGCCCACACAGCATTTCTTGCAAGAAAAAAGACAATAGGTTGAAAACTATAAGTGAAATTAAATTGACACGACCGTGCCCCTTCAAAACGGAGCAAACATTTGTCATTTTCTTATGCCACAGCAGGAGCTAAGTGACAACCTGGAGGACAGCCTGTCCTATTCCTTTGTGTTCACGAGGAGTTGTCCCTCACTCTGCCACCAGACCGTGTTGTATAGGGGTGTCAGGTTTGCACGGTGGCTCAGCTGTGCACAAAGCCTGTCCCAGCTGGGCTGCACAGCCTACCCAGGTCACGCCCAAGGATGCCTTGACTTCCTCAACCATGCTTCCTGCCTGGCTCTGACACAAGTGGGCCCACGGTTGCCAGGAGGCGTAGGAGATGTCAGATGGACACTGCAGTCTGTGTGACTGGCAAAGCTTTCTAAATTAAAAAGACTACCTTGGTATGTCACTGCAACTTTCAGACAACAAACGTCAAATCAGAGGAGACAGATTCCCCCAGATACTGAATGCTGCAGGGGCCTCGTGATCTATGGGCACATTCCTTGTATTTTAAAATCTTCATGCTTGGCCACTATTTTATGCTTTCTTGGCTGATGAAGCCAATGCTAAGGTTAGGCAGGGAGAGCTATTTACACTATGCCAACTATTGATATTTACCTCTTCTGTAGTTGCCAGAGAACATAAATAGCTCTCCCTGACTGACCTTAAAGAAATGCTGCCAGCCACAGAAGAATAAAATGCTATGGCTGCCTTAAACTTCCTTCCTCACTGATGTTTAGTTATTAGGAGGAAACACTGTTCCCAAGTTAGGAAGCCCAGTGAAATCACTGACCATGGTCACTCCCGTTTTGAATGTCATTCACTTGGCACTAGAGTCAAGCGTTGCTCTGCAGTGTGGGTGAGCAGGCAAGCATCCTTCCATAGCTGGATTTGGGATATTTCCATGTTAAATTTCCCCTGGTTGTGGATCCTAAGGGACTTACAGGCCTTAAAATTATTAAAATTGAAACACTATTTCAGGCTGCAGTTCTAACAACATCTTTTATGTCAGGAAAAAAAAAATATCCTTGGCCATTCTTTTGGCCAAGGATATTGTCTGGTCCTTCAATAAAAGTGACACCTTGGTGTAAATGAGATCAGCCCAGAGCCCCTGTGCAACCCCATCTATGTGAGTCTATTTACTGTCTATTTTACATCTGAGCACCCATCTGGAATGCCAATCCATGACATTCGTTGTGCACGACCTCCCTCTTCAGGGAAAGCATGTGGAGGGAACGCCACGCGTCCGATGCCGTTCCTGGCTAGGGATGCTCTCCTGAACCTGGAGAATTCCTTCCTACGGAGACTCAACTCCACAACTCTATTCTTGCTAAGGAGACAGAAAGCACAGAAGGAACTGTGTGCTGGAAGAGCTGATTATCTGATTACTATGATCTGATATATCAAAGATGCTTTAGACAGTCTATTTTTGTTCACTTGCTTTGTTCAAGGCCACCTCTAAAGACACGTTTGAGTTCCTAATGAACCATGATGACCTCTAGATGAACAAAATCAATATTTCAGTAATCACAGGAAAAAGAAAACTCATAAAAAGCCAGATGATTCTAGTCCCGTCTATTTTGAGTCTCTTCAATTTTTCTGATTTCAAACATAGTGATATTTTTTCCACGCCAGGAGTATTTTGAACAGTTTTTAACAACAGGTGTATAAATAAGGAGTGCAAAGAAGTCTTCTTACCTCACAAAACATAGGCAACTTTTTGGCAAAATCCACCACTCTTGTAATCGCTGGTGTGATAATTTTTGTAAACTGGCTGAAGGCTTCTAAATCCACTTTCCCACCTTCTGGGGCATTAACTATTGGTGCCTGCCCAATATCTTCTGGCTAAGGAAATAAAAAAAGATATTTAAAGGAACAATCTATCTTAGAGCAAGTATTTTAGATTCTAAAAAGTCCTGCTTGGTGATGGAAGATATGCTAAAATGAAAAATAACACTACTCACTCTATCAGTAATGCTTGTTACGCCACAAAATGTGAACAATCTGTTTGTAAGGCACTTCTGAAAGTGCACAGAGAAATGGGTCACTGGCATGCCACCACCCATCCTGTGTGGGCACCTGCATTTTTGTGCACATACAGCTTCTTCCTTGTGCCTGCATTTGAGTATTTTGTGGTTGCAGCATATGTATTTTTTACTCAAAATATCGCCATGGTCTTGTTTCTTACAGGTGCTGAGAACTCTCAAGTTTCTCTAAAAGTGAAAGGCGCTGAGGTGACTTGTTACCCGTGAGAAGATGTTGAGACCTCTGCAGAACTGGGATCTTTCACCTACTCAAAGTTCTGAAATCCTCCACAGAACAGATTGCCTGGGATCACAGAGCTCCAGGCAACTGCCAAGGCCCATTTCCAAAACTAGGCTAAAGCAGCTGATGACGAAGAATGGGCTAACACAAGGCTAGAGTGGGTAAAGTGCCTACACTGTGAACTCGCCTGGGTAAAGTTCTAGTTGAAAATCACCTTCTGCATGACTTCACCCCAAGGCTTCTCCAAAAGAAAAGAAAATAAATTTGAATATTTCAATAGAGATATAGAATTAAATACTTTCAAGCAGAATCTGCATTTTTTTTTGTTTAATTCCAACTGCAATTCAACTTGCTCACCTGATTATATGACAGCTCATCAATGTTACCATGTGTTTTCAGAACAGGTATATCAAAGTTGTCCTGTTTGCTAAGTGTGGCTTTGCAGTTGTAAAAGAGCTGCCAACCACCATGCAGAGGTTCCATTTTGTTCACATTAGAGAGTCAAAAAAATGGATGAAACACAGTGAAGAAGGCCTTCAAGTCCAATGGACTTCATGACATTTACATAAGGGCACTTAAACAGAGGAGGTGCTGAAAGTGCTATCTCTAATAAAATCTTGTGCTTGGCAGCTTTTTTAAAGCAACACATCATAAAAGATCCTCCCATAGCTCTGTCACCAGTTTGAATCCAAATCTAACTTCTCTCAAGAAAGAACTCAGCAATGCCTTAATAAAGCAAGCACCAATTGTAAAGGAACAATGAAGAGGACTGGGCTCAATTATCTGACGGTGCCTACTAAAAAAAAACAACCCTCAAATAATCCCAGTTCTAGGCTCCCTCCCTTCCTGAATCTTGGGAAACTAAACCACATTGTGTGCTCACGATAAACAACCTTCATCACTTAGAAGTAAGAAGACAAAATACTTAAAACCACGCAACATTGTTATGGAGAAAAAGAAAGAACAGAGCATTTTCTTGGAAAAGGCAAAGTGAGGATTGCTAGCAAAAGCGATCACCCTCCAGAAGGGCATGTGACTGGAGACCCCTTGCCACCTAGCCCACCTCAATAGGAAAAGAGGTCCAGACCTCAAAGAAGCTGTTGCTGTTGAAGAACCAGCCTCAGATGCCTAAAGGCTGGGCCACAGCTCCTGGGGCATGTGGTCAGCTCTTCTTGCTCTTCAACAGCTCATGGCAGGGGCTTTCAAATCTCTCTACCTGGGGTTAGCATGGCATCCTGGACTTTCCCTTCTGTGTTTGCTGCAAGGTGTCAGTGAGGTTCCCACACTTGCCTTGAAACCACTGGGCTTCAGGATGTGAGCTCTGCAAAGGACCGGGAGGCCCTGTAGCAAGGGCTGTACCGAGAGCAGTTTGGTCTGAGGTAGGAACTAGCTGTGGCAGTCACAGCTGGTTTCTGAGCTGTCCACTACAGTTGCCACCCATGCCTCTGCCCCTCCCAGCCCCTCTCACAACAGCCCTGTTGTAACATCACCTCACGCTCTGCCCTTTGTGGGAGGCTTCCCCTCCACTGCGAAGGAGGCCTCCAGAGCCTGAAGCCCCTCAGTGACCACACTTTACGTGGCCCAGTCCCCACCAGCTTTCTGCCTATGTCCTCACTGCCAGCCCAAACCTCAGGCTCCCCGCGCTTTATCCCACACCAGGAGGTACTGAAAGATCAGCACTCCTGCCGAAGTAACCAAACACACTGTTGCAGCTGCTTCATGATCTGCTAAAACCATGAAGCAAGCCTTGCTGTGCAGCACCACTGGAAGGTGCCCTCCTGCTCCTTGCCAGCCACCACTGGCTGCGGTTTCCTGACTGCATGCTACTACGAACACGCAGCCATTCACACAGAAACTTAAGAAGTGACACTGGAATTAACAAAACATTATAAAAGGTATCAGCTGAATATACAATTTCTCTTAGCAATTTAACAGTGGCTCGAGATTCCTATGGTGAATTAGGCAGCAGGAGCCTAGGCTTGCAGAAAATGAGTATTCTCTATCTGATCTGATCTGATCTACACAATGATCTGATATACACAATGTTGAAGACCTCTGTGTATTCCTGGAACACAGTCCATAATCCCTCTTTAGTGCTGTATAAACATTTTGCATCCTGCACTTGCTTCCTTTAAAAATTGATTTTAAAAAATCAAATGAATTTTTTTCTAAGGCTGAGCATCGCTAATCACCATTTTTTTCCTGATCCTTAGTTATAGGGTGAAAACTTAGGTCATCTTGTCGTCTACAATCCCAATGCTCCGGTGTATGTTTCACCCTGCTTTCACTGAAATTCATTTTTCTTTGCTGAATTTATTTTAATTAATGTGCTAACTTTGGAACAAGATAGCAAAAACTATGAGTTATTAAGAAAAAATAACAGCTTTCACCTAAAATCTTACATCATTTTAACACTTACAAAATGTTGTCTGTTAATTCCTAATAAAGACAACTATCCCTAGCTATAATACATATAAAAAGATACATTATGCATTATAGACTGCTACTCTTGTTAGGAGTGAAAGTTTTTCTACTTTTTCTTATCACAGCACTTGAAAAGTATCCAGCTGGGTAAGCCTTAACTTGCAACACACTGTTTGTCTTTTGAAATATATGATCTGATCAAACACTGAGCTTCAGGCAAGAATTAGCAAGCGGGAACTGTAACAATCATCCATTCTTCATAAAGGTCAATATGGTGTAGCTACACCCTCTTTGGGGTTGCAATATTGGGAAGGGACTTCAGAAAAAGATAGTAACCTGGCTCCAAGAGCAGTATAAAAGGCTACAGTCCTTACCAGAAATTTCCTTTTCTGCTTCCAGTGGCTTCCTTGTGCATTGGTGGCCACATGCGCTTCGGTAACAATTTTTATGAGCTCCCATTCCTCATCTGTTGGCTCTGGTTTGTGTCCAATGGTTTTCTGCAGCTCTTCCCGACGCCTCTTCTCTCGATTTTCCTCTATCAGCTTCCTCTTTGCCAACCGCTTGCTGTCATCCAACACCACTGGCAGAGGAGAAAGCACATGAAAATGGCTGGAAGCTCTTAAGGCTGCCTGAACTTTGCTTTTTTTCTATGCCTGAGGTACTAATTGACCACAAATACCTTAACCAGTCAGTAAAGAAATACTTTGGTAAGATCCCCAGTTGACAGGTTCTTTTGCTTCTCCCTCCAAACTTCATTTTGTCAGAAGCTGGGACGGCAGTGAAAAACTTACCCTTCTGGCAACATTTTGTATGTGGCCATTGCCTTCAAGGCTTATTCCATCAATAAAACTGGCATGTAAAAGCTCTGTAAGGATGTGGGCAAAGTGCTTCTGTAATGGACTCGGAGTAATCTATGTTGGGAAAAGATGCACTTGTTTTCTTTCAAGTAGTATTGGCACACTCACTGCTATGAACTGTGTAGAATGTGTTGTAAGCCAGCAGAAGGTAAACTGGATTTAAGAAAGTGGATGGGAGGCTCCACTACCTGTTGCATGATACGATCAGAAACTATCTGCCTTTGGCTCTTTCTTTAAGCTCTACAAATGGAGTCTCCTATTGCATTCCCCTAAAGCTTTGCTACTTCCAGTGGTGCTGGACACAGAAACCGCAGAGCTGCACGTTTCTGACCACTACTGGAGGTTTTATCCCATTTTCCACGCAAACATTAACAGGCCATTTACACAGACTGGCCTGTCTGCTCAAACAGCAGGGGAAGACTGTTCTGACCCACAACTGGTGGCAGGCTGGCAGGAGCAACGCAAGCCCCGCGTACAGGCTTCTGTTCACACGTTTTAACCTGAGCCGGGGGCGAGCGGCCTGCCCGCCGTGCTCAGCGCCGGCTCCTGGCACACAGACAGGTGCAGCCCACACAGGCCAGAGCAGCTCTGCGGTGACGGCACCTGCTGGTCAGACCCAGAGCTGGAGGAACTCCCTGCTCTGCACGGCTGCGGCCTGACCCAGGCTCAGCGCTGCCTGCTGCATCGGGCTGGGCCGGATGCCGCCTCATGGCCCCATCTCCTGAACGTCCACCTGGCTAAAACGAAACTGTGTTCTTCTGTTTCCCTCTAGACAGAAGGCACTGTTATACATTACATCAACAACGTAAAATACTGTTAGACTATTCTTCTGTTGTTTATTTGGCCCGTTTTCCTGTCAGTTCTTCCCCAGATGATTACACCGTCAACAACCATTACCAGTAATGCTCAAGGGGATTTATGAGACTTCCTCCCATTTGCACTAATTGAAGTTATCAGTGTAAATCCCTGTGCAATACAGGAGAAGATGACCATAAGGGTTAATCTTTCAGCCATATTTTCTAATTCTTTAGAGTAAGAGTTGAGTTCTTTGCAGTAGATAACTTCTTCAGGGCTAAAAATAAAACAAACAACTGCAGGATGACTCATACAACGACATTCAATTTCACATCCTCCAGAATTTTCTAAACAAGATGTTTTTTGCAAAGTGTCCATCCAGATGCGTTTTTCCCTCCTCTCCTCCAAAGAGCGAACATTCCTACTGTTACTTGGCCTGGTAAGGCCAGGAGAAGGTGCAGTTTGGGGAAGGATAAACAAAAAATTACAGCCTTGTGAAAGTGGTTTGATGCAATGAGTGCAATTCCCTGTACAAGTTAGTAAAACCAAAAAAAGCCCCAGAAGTTTTGCTTTATTTCAGCAACCTTCACCAATCAACATACTTTAAGCAAACACACATTAAAAAAAAAAAAAGGAGAAAAAGACAAATATACTTACGATCTGTTGCCATGCCAACAAAGATACATTTTTTGAAGCGACATTCCTGGCACTGATTTCTTGTTACTTTGTCTATCACACATTTTCCTTCATATTTACAGGAATAGGTTGGATGGAGGTTTTTCTGAATGGTTCTTCTAAAAAAACCCTAAGTGCAATAAATAGATACATTGGAAAGCATTAGCACTGTGCCATTTTTTCAAACTGGAAGCCACTCTGGCTTGGTAGGAATGTACCTAAGTACACAAGATAGCTCACTTCATTCCATGAAATTCTCAAAAAGGAAAAGAACAAACCAGTTTTATAGTGTATGGCATGTGTTTTCTGAGTCTCACAAAACACCTCCTCCCTACAAATTAAAAAGATACTGATATCTTAGGGAAGTATGGTGTAAGTAATACTGTCTTCAGGGACAAATACTGTCTATGTTTTTATGAAGTCTTATGTTTCTGTGTGCTAATTTTTTCGTATTGGAACTAGTGGGTTTATTTTAAGCCTTTTTCTAAATTACAAAATCATTTCAAGAGATATTAAGAGGCATATACATACTTTTAATTAAAGAGCAGCTTCTGTCAACAGTAAGAACAGTGGTGTAAGAACGTGACACTAAAGGATCAAGAATAAGGAGTTCTACTCCTGTCATTCTATCAAAGCCAAATAACCAACGAACCAACCAAAGCCAGGCAAAACCAAGAATTTTATAAACACAATTTACACAACTTTTTAGTTTATTCTAAATAATGGATCCATAATCTAAACAGTATATGTATTTCTGAGATTATTTGATTTGTATTTACCACAGATCTCTATTCAAAACAAACATCACCAATAAAGATCCCTCTCTCTAGAAATCCATTCTATCTGTCTGTCTATCCATCTATTGATCTATCCATCAATCATAATATAGATCTTGAATTCCAGTTGCAACACAGATATGAGGTCAGATCCCAAGCTCTTGAGATCTAATGTCGCTCCACTGAATTCACTGATTTATACACCCCACAGACCTTGACCTTGGGTAAAGAAATCAGAATCATCTTATCTCTGACTCTTACAGACACAGTCCTAGTACTAATTTCAACTTGACTACTCTCATTGACTTCTGCAACAGCTGGATAAAATTCCCAAACCTATGAGATATGGACAAGATAGGCTATAAAACAAGAAATTTAGACATGACTTTATTTCAAGCGTCACCATTGTTTAAGACTGTCTACATTCAGCGATGTAGCCTGGGAGAACCCTGACATAGAGAACACGCTGGGCCCCTGGTCCTCTGACTGAGGCCACAGAGAATGGTTTTGGTTTCAGTGAAAACAATGGCAAAATTCAAGTGAGATTTTGCCTAATGCATAGCCCCTTTTCCTAATGAATAGTCTCTTCACGTCATTAGGTAAAAGGTCTGTTTTTAATCATGTTAAATAACACCCAGTAAAATCTTATAGCAGTGTGTAATTTCTTTTAGCACAGAATGTTGAATTAAGATGTACAGATAAGTCTGTACTTCAGCTTGAGCTCCTAACTCCAGTCAAGACAATAAAGAGTCTTGTCCTCATTAGAATTTTGTCTTAGAAGATACAGCTTGAGCTAAGAGTACAACGTTTTGTTCCTTAACAACGACAAGACCTTAAATCTCAATTAAACAGATTTGCATAAAGCATGTATGTGAGCTTTCGCAAGACTGGGACCTGTTGGGCTGAGCCCAAATCCAGGAAATCACAAGCAAGATGTCCTTATGTGAGGTTTGGATCAGGTCTCAAACTCTCATCTACCCAACAACTGGATCTGAGTCCACTCCCAACCCTGTGACAAATTCCTAGACAGGACCTGTCCCTCTCCTCCCTGAAGATCAAAGGTGGCTCTGGATAACCAGGGTCACAGAGTAATCTCTAGTTACAGCAAGAGATGGAAAAATCTCTGATGAGTGTCAGGAATTGGTACTGAACTTGTGTTTTCCAAACACTGCATAGGAGTTACTGTCGCTCAAGCTTCACAATGGCAAGACTCTCCACCACTTATGTTTGGACCAGAACATTTCACCATCTCATTCCTTTGCATTTCTCAGAATATTCTTGCAAAAAGCCTCTTTGATTATCTCTAATGTGATAAAGGAAGCTTCTCTCTATATTTGTCCAAACAATCCCAGAAGTATTATTTCCATCAATAAAAGAAAGCACAATTATAAGGCAACTACTCTTTCCTAAATTCCTTTACTACACACCTATATAGCAATAGATGTAGTGGGTACAGTCTGGAGAAAGATTTCAGTGATGTCGGAACTCACTGTAAGTTTTTTTTGTGTTCAAATTCTTTACAATTTACTCTTCAGAAATCATGTGTGAGGATGCTTTGCTCATGAGAACACTCACCTAAGCAAATTTTTGGCTGTCAGCACTGATCAATGTTGTTACAAAATTAAAGTGACTTTGAGTGGAGGCAACTAGTAAATGTCAAATTAACTGAGAATTGTTTACATATAACTTTGCTGATAAATCATACAACTTGAAGTCTGTATGCAGATCCTCCAGAGCATGGATCGAAACTATCCACACCAAAAAAAAGGTCTTGTAGAATGAATACATTTGCAAGAAGAACAATGTATCAAAACACATCAAAACAGCCTGTTTGCAAGCCAAATATAAGTAGGATAAAGAATTAATTACTTTTTTTTGCAAATTGTTAGCTCAGTTCCTTGTGCACATAGGCATTATTTTAAATTGTACATCAGAGAGATGAACTGTATCTGAAGATGAAAGGAGATTGTCTACCTTTAAAAGAACTGGTAGGCACAAAAAGAAATACTTCAGCTGGAGTAACAAAAACAGTAGGAAAGCTTGTGACAGACAGAGTTGTTAGCTGGGAGAGATACCACTGTGATGCCACGGTGTCACTTACTTCTCATTACATCGGAATTAAGTAATATTCAAACATTTTATGTATTGTTACCATCTGGAATATAGGATGCAAATGTGTAAGAATCACTTGTTCAGTTCCACATTTTTTTTCCACTATAGGTATTTTTCACACATATTATATATGTGTATAAAGCCATTGTTAGTATTGCCACAAAGCTCTATACATAGGTTATTTAGGTCTTTGTGCATTTCATAAATGTAACTTAGGGCAATGCTGTATAACTGAAGGAACTACTTCAACACAAGAGTTACTAGAGCCACAAGAGCGCCTCTAAAGCCAATCCAAACCCAAAAGCTCAGATCCAAATATTCCAGACTTTGGGGATGAACAGAATACAACTGCTGTGGCTTAGTCCCATGACACTAGTCCATGACATGTGTGGTCCCATTTGTTTAGAAGAACAATAATTTTCTTATTTTCTGCAGGAAAGAATAGCTTTCTTACAGGACCTCAAGCTATTCAGGCAAACTTATGGCAGTGAAATCATGTACGATGTGCCTGATCATGTTATTCTTTCTTTCTTTTATTTACTTGCCCAAAGCAATCTCTTTTTTTTAGTTCTGCATGTAGCTTTGGAGGTACAATTTAGGGCTGAAAGCACATTTCAATATGCTTAACTTGAAGTCCAGATCTTTTTGAAACTGTTTTAACTGGGTGTCAATGATTCCCAAAGTGGTGAATGTTACTGTCGTATGAGCATGTGGAAAGGATTTTGATTTTTGCTTCTTCACAGTGACAATGAGAGGCATTGGAACACTGTTAATCGCTATAGACTCTTCATGGCCATGGGCAGAATCTCAGCTATTGCATAAACGGCTTAGCAGGACTTGCTGGGAGGATGCTGATGTACACTGGCTGAGAACATGGCCGAAGAAACGTTAAAAAATGGAAATGTAAAAGCTAACAGTTAAACAGCAACCAGAAAAAAAGTAAATTTCTCTTCCTCTTTGCAGAAGCAAGCACTGCAAAAATCATCTATATTGCTCATGCATATGTGGAGCAGCAGCATAGCCTGCTACGGCTTATCATCAGTACGGGATGTTCTTATTCGCTTCTAATCTGTCTTTGTTTTATTTGACAGCACAGGTCAGGCAGCCTGTGTACTGGAGGAGCTGAGCTGGAGAGCTATTTCTGACTCCCCCTTGCCCACTGCGCCGCTTACCTTGCAGCCTTCGCAAGTGATGCAGCGATAATGGTATCCGGTGGCTTTGTCCCCACACACTACGCACAGCTCATCCTTGTCTAAGTAGCTGGGTATGTACCCTGCAAAGAAAAAGAGGATCCGGCATGTATACGCAATATAAAATCATACCATACATTTCATATAAAAATATTTTATTAAAGCCCACTGCAGATCTTATCTACCAGCTCCATACTTCTGAACTCATTGAATTTCCTGAATAAAAAGCTTGTACCATCTTAGAGACTTATTTAAGCAAAATCTATAATATCTTCTTCATCTTCATAACCTATAATATCTTCAGCATCTGCTGGTCAAGAGGGAGAATCCAGACCATGCTCTCTCCTCAGTAAAATACTACCTCAGCAAAATAAATATATTTATTTTTACCTCAAAGGCTTTGATGTGAAAATATAAAATAACGGTGAGACATACAATGTATGTCTTGCTTCTGTTTCACAAAAAAACTAATATACTTGTACGTGGAAGATAAGACCCCAGGTTGCAGGCTGACTCGGGGACCTGGTATTAAGAAATATTTATTGTGAAGTAATTTGGTTTGAAACAGCTCCACAAGTGTGTTTAGAGGAGTAACAGCAACAGACAGCCCAAGCTTTACTGATCATTCCTGACCTGGGTGTCCTCCAGAGGAACATTTAACATAGCTTGACTTTAGAGCAAAATACGTAGGTATTCAAATATGTGTGTGTATGTGAATGTGTTAGAACGACTTTTTCTCTTCTGAAGTGGTTTACCTGTCACCATCAAGTGAAATAAAATATTACGGCTATGAAAAACATTGCCAATGCTTGGTTCTCTTCCCACAATGACATTTGTTTTGATAACATAAACATATTTTCAATTTGAGCAAAAAACCAAAACAATTCTGATAGCAACCAAAAAGTAATTCTAAACTAAAGCGAACTTTTAAACAGAGTAAAATACAAACCTTTCAAAGTAAGTTTTCCTATGACTCATAATTAATGGAGTTACAGTACATAACTTTTCCTTCTGAAAAAATCTCTCTGTAAAAATGTAACTCCAAGATCACAGATTCACTTCCAGGGGAGAAAGTGCAGCTATTTGTGTAATGACATAACATTATTAAGGTGTATTAAGTATTGCACAGAATCCCAGAAAGGCTGAGATTGGAAGGCATCTCTGGAGGTCATCATGTCCAACCCTCCTGCTCAAACTAGGGCTGCCTAGAGCAGACTGCCCAGGACCATGTCCAGATGGCTTTTGAGTCATCACCAAGGATGGAGACTCCACAACGCTTCTGGGTAACCCATGCAAGTGCTCAGTTACTCTCACAGTGAAAAGAAAAGATTATTTTATTGCTTTCCAAAGGAATTCCCTGTATTTCTATTTGTGCTCACTGCCTCTTGTGCTGTCATTGGGCACTACTGAGAAGAGTCTGTCTCTGTCTTCGACCTGATGGTGGACCAGGTAGTTATACACATTGACAATACAAATCCCCCCTTCCCACCCCCTTGAGTGTTCTCTGCTCCCGGCTGAACAGTTCCAGCTCTCTCAGTCTCTCCTCATAGAACAAATGCCTGAGTCCATTTATCACCTTTGTGGCCCTTTGCTGTACTTGTTCTAGTCTTTCTTATACTGGGGATCCCAGAACTGGACACAACACTGCAGGTGTGTTTCACCAGAGCTAAACTTAGGGGAAGGATCACCTCCCTCAGCCTGCTGGTGATGATCTTCCTAACGCAGACCAGGATGCTGTTGACCTTCTGTGCCTCAAGGACACACTGCTGGCTCATGTTCAACTTGCTGCCCACCAGGAACCCCCACCTATATCAACAGAAAGCACTTTCCAGCTGGTTGGGACCCAGCCGGTACTGCTGCATTTATTATTCCTCTCCCAGTGCAGGATTTGGCATTTCCCTTTTATGAACCTCAAGAGATTCCTCTCATTCCATTTTTCCAGCTTGCCTAGGTTGCTCTGAATGGCAACACACCCACCTAGTGTACCAGCCACTCCTCCCATTTTTGCATCATCTGCCAGTCAGCAGAGTGCAATTCATGAGTGCAATGAGGGACTGTCCTTTGGATGTGGCCACCTGTAACACTCTCCCTGGCCACTGGCTTGCTGAACCTATCTGTAGCACCACACATTAGGCTGCACTCCAAGCTTGCTGTCGTTATGCAGCCCCCACACCCATAAGGCTCAGAACAACCTGCGGACTCGGCACGCCACAGCCACATGGAGGACAGCCAGCAACAAGACTGAGGGCAGCAGAAGGCTGCTGGAGGGTGCTGCAGGAGGGGGCCATCCTCTTCCTGGGACTAACATGCCAGAGGGTCAGCTCACTAACAGACAGCTTAAATGGAAGCACCTTCCTAAGGATATGCTTGACAGTGGTTCTCCAGAAAGGAAAGCCCAAATCGGAGAGAAAATACTTGAAATTAACTGAGCTTAAAAATCTTGAACTTTCTGGGGGCCTGGTGAGTGGATTAGGAGAAAGCAAAGAAGGCATGAAGTACTTGTACGGTCCTTCATATGTCTCATTTGAGCATAATTATGAAAACCTCAAATTACAGAGGAACACAGATGCCCCTTCTGTAATGCTGGGAAGCAGGAGCACTCTGAAGCCATGCCCAGGTGTCCACATCTTGGCGTTGCTAACGGCAGCTGAAAGGGGAGTGAGGGAACGAGCTGAAATCTTACTGATGTATCATACCAATCTATAATACAGCAAAAGATCAGATTTACATTCAGGTTACGTTTCTCCATGATGAGCAAGTTGTGCTTGGCTAAAGACTGGTGGACACGTGGAGCTGGTTCTGTGACCTTGAGGGAAGAGACACAGCAGGGTTTCGACTCTAATTTACATCACTGCCTCCTAATGGACACTATGCCACTGGGGGATTAGCAGAAGCTATTCTCTCCATCCCACCCTGCTTTTGCTCACACCTGCCTCTGCACATGCAACATGTACACAACACGGAGCTGATACAGGAGGCAGCAGAGGCAGCAAAGGGATGCTGAATTTTCCACTAAATTTCTCATAAAGATTAATGGCTTCTTGTTATTGCTGGTTACTGCTATTCATGAAATGCAGACTTAGCACAGACCACATCTGGTTTGCTTCCTCAAGAACTACTTCTGAATTAAATGCCTTTATATTTCATTAAGTATATAATCTGGTTAGCACTGCTCATGTAATGGCAGCTTTGTTCTATTGGAGGAGCAGGAGACCACTTGTCTAAACCGCTTCCTGAAATATATACAGTAGCTTGTACATGTGACCCGTGGTGTCCATATCCTTGGAGTTTCATCACTTTATCCAACCCAGGAAAGAGTTTCCGGTCTGGCAGAAAAGACAAATCCCAATTTTGCTGCATTGGAAGTGTTAAATGCCAGGTATTTTGGCTACATAAATGTTAAACATCAAGTTCATCACTTCTGCAGGATTGTGCCCAAGCCACAAGGTAAGCACACACTTCAAACTCTTTTCCTGAGTCAACAAGAAATACAGATAATCTTATCCCAATAAATCATTAGAAATAAAGTAGGCAAGAAACATTTTTTTTTTTCTATTACAAATGTGAAAGTAATATCCACACTTCTGTATATTTTTAAGTCTCCTTCCAAGAGCCAGTGGGGTCATAAACCACTAGAAAGAAGGAAAACTGGACCTTCAGCAGCATTTTAAAAGGCTGTAATTCAGAAGAACAAACCCCCTGCTAAGAGGAATAAGGGGACTAACATTCAGTTCTTACAAACCGTAATGTCCACTGTAAATAATTTCTAGTAGTTGCAAATATCCAGTCTGGCCTCTCTGTGAATTCAATGCAACTTCTTTTGTAAGAGGTGCAGATAAGCAGCCTCAGTGCGTTTTGCTGCTACTGAAGAGTTAGAAATGAAATTCAACAGTGTTTTTCTGAACTTGGCACCAGCATGGAAGCTACAGAAGTGCAATGGAGATTCTTGGCGAACACACGGATGGGAGCAAAGTTGTCTGTTGGATGGTTTTGAGAAAGAAGCAGAGCAACAGACTTTTCTCACTCCTTGCAGCACTTGCGAAAAAGAGGAGCGGTACCACTAATAAGAACTTGTCTCTCACCTCAGCAAGCACTTTGGTATCTTGTGTTTTTGATAACTTGCAACCAAAAGCCCCTATGTGGAAGAAGCAGATGCTGTCTGGACAGAGTAACCCCAGCGCTCTCTTATGAAAGAATATCTGATGACAAATCTCATGGGAACACTGGGCAGGTTCATGTTTGTGGTGTTCACATTTCATCCTTTATTTCTTGGTCAAAACCTACTAAGTAAATAGCTAAGAGGAACTGTCCAAAGGCAACACCAATCCCACTGAACTGTACAACAATAACCAGTATCACTCCTTGGTCTTTCAAGCCTCAGTCTGCTGTATTCTATCATCCTCATGGACCATCATTTGGTGCATCTTGTATAATCCTCAAAGTTAACTATCTGTCAAGTATGATGACAGTATTCATCCCAATGCCCACACTGGATCTTTGCTTTGAGTGGAGAACAGCAATGAATGACCTTGACCTGCCGTGTCTGGTGTTTTCCCTGCTGCCTGAACCCTAACTCCTTTGCTCCCCAGACTCCCACCTGCTAGTCTGCCTAATCTTACTGTCTTGTTGAGGCTAAGTACTCAGCAGGACCAGTTGCTCCTATCTAGAAGAATATGTTGTATCATCTGTTATAACCAATCTTGATGGCGATTAACAGTATCTTTTAAATAATAACTGTAGCTTTGCAGAGGTATGGCAGGAAACAATTGCATACATACATACCAGAAAGAAAAATGAGGTTGCCTCAGCAGCAGTAAGGACAGAACAAGATCTGATAACCAAGCAGTCACTTGAGGTACTCTGTTTCATTAATAGTGTATGCCTACACTCTCAAATTACCATTTGCAGGAATGACACCTTAAAGCAGCATTTATGTGACCCTGCACACTGTAACAAATAGGAGAGACACCAATGAGATACTTGGTGGCTACTCTTGCACCCTGCCCCTTAGCACCACAAGGCAAAGAAAAGCTTTTTAAATGACAACAACCCCTGAAGAATGATACAGGTTTTCCTCTGTATC